GGGAAAGAGACACAAAAATCAATTATGTTCTTACATCTCACCCAACTACACCATCAAACTGCTACTTACATGTTATGGTAATGCTTTAATAATAAAAGTAATAAAGTTACATGTATAGTTAATAATTCAACAGTATGAAGGGGGCCATTCGGCATAACAAATAGAAAGTTTTCACAAAAATAAAATTTTAAATGCAAGACTTTTACTTGTAGCATGTATTATCTTATTTAAGGAAAGGATATGAATATTTCTGAATAAAAATAAATGCTTCTATATTCAGTTTTCCTTCCATTGTTAAAATAACTTCTAACACATGCAACATTGTGCTGTGGTAAGCCATTCAAACATGAGTAAAACATGGCTGTTTACAAACTGTGACACAGTGGGAGGAAACATTGTTCCCCAACTATTTCATGTACATTTCTCAACTTTTCCACCACACTTGTTAAATGTTTCTTTAGCCAAATTCCACCTTTAATGCAAACACATGCTATCTCAGGTTTGTTTGTGTTAAGCATTATGTTACAGTTATCATTAATATCTTTGGTTAAAATAAAATACAAGTATTGTTCAAGTTAAACTGGAGATTATTGATTTAGTAAAGAGTGTTAATAAGATAATTTGTAGTTTTGGTTATACTACTCAGGCCGTTAGAAGACAAAATGAGGAGGCACTGAACAACTTTCTCATTTTATACCCTCTCTGATGTCATTAGTGATGTCATGAGGGTGAACCAAGTAGGGAGGTGGGGATTATTAGTGTTAAATTAGTTTCATGTGTTGATTATTAATTTGTAAATTATATAGTTTGAGAATTGTATGTATGTTTTAAAAGTCTGTGATTCTGTTAAATGTTTATTAATAAAAGAATTACTCCAGAGAACTGGCTTGTGTGAGGATGGAGGTGATAGATTTACTTGTGGGAGATATGAAATGGTGTGGTCTGAGAGAGGGTTGAACCAGATGGTGGTAATATTTAAGTAGTTGCTCATGGGAGGAGGAGGCCATGCAAGTGTAGCTATGTGCATGTGTTGTTACTTTAAGTTGCGTTATTATAATTAGTTTTATTTAGTGAAGTTAACTGTTTGGTTATTTTATGGATATTCTTTTGGTACACGTGTATCATGGTGGCACGCTTGTAAATAGAGTGAGGAACAGAAGTATTTGAACACCCTGCGATTTTGCAAGTTCTCCCACTTAGAAATCATGGAGGGGTCTGAAATTCACATTGTAGGTGCATTCCCACTCTGAGAGACAGAGTAAAAAAAAAATTCAGGAAATCACATTGTATGATTTTTAAAGAATTTATTTGTCTTGTACTGCTGAACATAAGTATGTTCCCCATGACTCAAATCACACATTTTTTCCCTTGAATATTTACTGCACAAATGAAATGTGTTATACTTTGTGCTATGTGAACTTCCCTTGCTTAGCCCACTATTCCACTGCTATACTGCTGCTAATACAACAACTACTTTCCCAAGAAGAGCCCGGTCACCTGCCTGAACGACTACAGGCCAGTGGCACTCACCCCAATTATTATGAAGTGCTTTGAGAGAGTGGTGCTGGCCCGCATTCAGAGCAGTATACCGGACACCCTGGACCCCCTGCAGTATGCCTACCGGCCCTACAGGGCCACCTCAGACGCCATCGCAGCTGCCCTCCATTATTCCCTGTCTCACCTGGAAAATGGAGACTCCTACATCAGGATACTCTTCATTGACCACAGCTCAGTTGTCCCCCACAAACTCACCCACTAACTGTCCACACTGGGTCTGCACCCCACCCTCTGTGACTGGCTCCTGGACTTTCTGACTGGCAGACCTCAGACTGTCAGGATTAGCAACAGGACTTCAGCCAGCATTGTTACAAACACGGGCACCCCACAGGGATGTGTCCTCTGTCCCATCCTCTACCCATCCCATCCTGTTCACCCACAACTGTGTTGCCTCCCACAAGGACAACATCATCCTAAAATTCGCGGACAACATCACAGTGATAGGTCGCATCACTGGCAGGGACAAAACAGCCTACAGGAGGGAGGGGGCCGGGCTGGTGTCATGGTGCGAGGACAATAATCTCAGCCTCAACACGGACAAG